GTGGACCACGCGAGCATACAGCGAGCGTTGTCTGGACAAGCACGCAAACACGCACGCGCACACATGCCACGCAAGCGCACCAATTTTCCCAGTGCTCAAGGCGCGCCGTCGAACGCAGAAGAATCCGAGGAATCGACGGCCCCTTCTGCAGCGGCCACGGCGTCCCTGGACGCTGCCGAAGCATAGCCGAACGCGGCCACGCTGCGCCACCCTCCACTATGGAGGAGGGCTGGAACGCCACCCGAGCACTCGTTCGCCCAGCCCCTGCGGAACGCAGGCGTGCCCCATTCCGCCGCGCGCTCAAGGCCTAGCGCTGGCGCTGCTGCTCTCAGTGTGGCCCACGCCGCCCCGTAGGACAAAACCCGGGAGTAGTGGGCCTCGTCTGGCACGGCGCTGGAGGTCGCACACCCCGCATAGCTGCCGCGACTGGAATGCGCAAGTGCAACGCCTCGACACTACCACAGTTTCCGTCTGCATCCTCCACTTGTGGTACAGAGACGCTTTGGGGATACCTTCGCCGACCGCCAGCACGACCTTGGAGTGCACCCCGTCGCGCTCCAAGGGCACGACTTCTGAAGCGAAGCGTTAGCAGAAGTGTCGCGCAACCGCGAATGAGTCTGCCACCGAAGGATCCATTATAACGCCCCGCACATGGACCGCCAGGCTGCGGGTGACTTACGCTGCGGCCCGTGCCCGAAAACGCCCCCTGGTGGACAGCGAAATCTTCGTGGCGCCCCGCGCCAGGCACCCCAGCGGTATCAAGAGCAACTTGAGCGCCGAATAGACTGGCGTGCAATACGTCATCAGCGAGGTACCGTTCTGCACCGCGAACGCGACGGCGCCCAAAACAGGCTGGGCCAGCGTCCACGGGTCTAGTCCGAAGTCCGAGGCCTTGGGCAACCTGTCCTCAAAGCCGCACAGCGGAAGCGTATCTATATGCATTGTTATGCTAACCGCCAAGTTTTCGTCTTGGCAGCTATTGCTGGCGTCGAACTGAGAAACGTTGTCCTTCAAATGTGCAGCCCGCTCTCTGGGGTTGCCCGGGGCGTTGCCGCGTCGTCTGGCCCAAGCCAACTGCAGCTTTTCAGGCGTGACGCGGCCGAGCGCCTGCACGGCGTCTGCCAACTCATTTGGGTCCAGAAGTGTGCCTCGCAGGCGGGCCGCTGCCAGAAAACCAAGGGCCGTCAACGGTGCTTCTGCCGCCGGTTGCCTCACCTGCGGGATGCCCCCTTGCGCTTCTGGCGTGTCCACAACGTCTCGGTTGGTTCCCCCTTGAGGACAGCAAACAGCCGCCGCCGCAGCGGCGGGCCTTTGTGTGGACAGAGCAACCAAGAATTCATTGGACAGCCCTTGAGACACGGCCACACGTCCCGAAGTTCCTGTACACCCATGTCGAAGAAGCCATCGCCGCCCACGGCCCGCCGCCCGCTGGAGCGTCTAAGGCGTCGCCTGGAGCTCCTGGATTGCACTGCGGCGGCGTGCGCCGGAGCACGGAGGCGAACCATTCCGACCATTCCTTCAGAGCAGGTTGCGCGGCCACTCGGGCTCCGCCTGGGCCCGGTGCCTCACCTGCAGCAGCTGCGCCAGCAGCGCCATCGCATTGTGTCCGTCGTCTTGCGCATGCGGTCAACGAATTCAGCTGTCATTCTGGGCCAAGTCGGCTACGGAGAACAGCGCGTGGGTCCGTTTTGGAGGCACGGCGGTCGCAGACCAGAGATGCACATGTTTTGTTCTGCCGCCCGGGATCAATTCCCCCCAGCGTTCACACCTGCCCAAACTCCACTGACGGCCAGCTCCACTCGACCATGGCGAAACCTGAAGCGACAAGTTGTGCCATCTATGGAGTTTTCCGTTCCTCCCGAGCGGGCCATCCGCCACATTTCAATGCGATGGCGCACGGAATGCGCTCAAGAAGTGGGCGCGGGCTGCAGCTGCAAACCATATGCCTGTCACCATGGCGTTGAAATCTCGCTGGCGGGAGCATCCGCCGAACACTGTCCCGAGCGCCACTGTGGAATCGATAACACATTACAAGGTCGAGTCCAGCCGCACTCTTAGCTTCTTCAAAGAAGCGCCAGGGTGCGCACATCGCGCTCCCACGCGTGGACCTGCTGCTGCCGACAGCAAGCCCGCTTCTGGAGCCATCCCGGGGCCTGGGCAGACGCAAAAAGTTTAGGACCGGCAAGCACAGCGACCCACGCCAGCGTGCCTACCCCGGTCGCGTCTGTATATCATATCAAACACGGCTTGGCTTTTGAAGAAAGTGTCACAAACCTGTAAGGCCGCGCGCTGAGGCAACGCTGCCACCACGCAAGTGCTTTGCAGAGGCGTTTCGACATGCGTTTGCTCTTCCCCACCGACTGCCGGAAAAGCGGCGCAAGGTAATCCCGCGCCCGAGAGCCGGTTGCGCCGGCGAGGGCAGGGCGAATCACGATACACGCCCGCGACCGTGCCTCTCTGCAAAATCGCAGACCAGCAGAGGAGCCATGCAGGTAGCTCCCCCTGGAACCACGGCCGAAACTTGCTACCCCGCCTCGGTTCCGGGCGGTGGGCGAGGGAGCGGAGCAGCCGTAAGGCAACGAATCGCCGAATCCCCGAATGGGATGACCGCTGCCTGTGAGAATCTTCTTCCGCATAACCAAGACTTCGGGATGATTCAGACGCCCGAGAGGCCCCCAAAGAGGCTTTCAAGAGGCCCCTCGAGCGGCTTCCAAGAGACCCCCAGGAGGCCCACAACCTTGAAACACCGATGGCAAGACTGACGCTTTTGGAGCTCTCGCTGTTTCGCTTCCGATTTCGGAGAATGCATCCCGGAACGCGCTGGGTTCTGTCTTCCCCCTCGGTCAATCCCCCTAGTGGAACGACAGCTCTACGGACCAATCGGCGCAGGGGCCTCCGGGAGGCCCCCGGGGGGCCCGACGAGGCTCCAAGAGGCCCCAAATAAAGCCCATCACGTTACTTGATGGAGCGTGTTCACGAGAATGCGTCCCAGAAACGCGCTGGGTTATGTTTTCTCCCGCCGCCGCCCTTCGTGCCTGCGCGCACGGCCCATACTGTTCCCTGACGGACCGTGTTCTGGCGACTGCGTCCCGGAACGCTTGGGGTACCTTCTTCTGCCGCGGTCGCCGACTTACGGTTTTCAAGGTCTTGCTTTTTCGCTTCCGATGGGCCTCTCATCGGGTGGGGCCAGAACGAGGATCAAGTCCGTTCCAGGGCGTTCCGGAACGCTCTGAGAGCGTTCCAGAACGCTTTTGGGAAAACGCGTCCTGAGGGAAACGGGTCCTGAAGTTTTTCGCTGTGTTCGGGCTTTCGGGGCCTTCCCCGGGCCCTCGGACTATAAGAAATCTGAACCTCGTCCTGGTGGAACCCCCAAGGGTCCAGGACCCGTTTCCTTCAGGACCCGTTTCTCCCCATGCGCACTTTGGAAGTTTCTCCAGCGTGTCGCGTTTGAAACCAGGCCCGAGACACAGCGTGATCCAGAGGACTTCTCCCGGAACGCGCTCGGTTCCAGGAGGCCCCACGTGGCCCCACGAGGTCCTACGGCCTCCACGGGGCCCAAAGGACAAGCACGTCACCTGAGCGCACGCATCGTTGCCTGATGGGGCGTGTGTCCAGAGATCGGATTCAGGACGCGGGGCCGAGCGACATCGACGGCCGAATATTGTGACGCACGTGGGAATATAACCTCTCGCGCGAAGACATTCCTTTTTTGTAGTATAAGTATAGAGAGGTGTACTCTGTGTTTATGTATTACACAAATCTCTGTGTGTGTGCGTCGCTTCTTTTGTGTTTCCGACATGGGCGCCCCCCCCCTCCCCCCCTCGTAGACCAGATATTTGCTGCTTTCGGCGGCTGCGTGCTTGCGCAACAAGTACAAGCAAGTCGATTCAGCACCAGCCCAGACCCAGACGCCCCCCTGCCCCACTCTTCGGCCAAATGTCGACAGTGCGATCACCCACACATGCTTGCCATGATTTGTCGAAGTCTCCGTTTCCATACGTCTCTGGGTAAGCGTAGCATACATGCTTACAGAACCCTCGGCCGAAGGGGTTCACAGTAGGCGCATCAAACTACAAACTTGAATTTCAGTTGGCACCCCGCGGCAATTTCTTTTTCCCAAACAGAGTTTGACACCATTTAATAATGGGAGTATTTCGCCAGGTCCATGATCGGCAGTACCGTGTGCGTGTCTGCCTGTACCGTGCAGCAAAACATACAAACACGCGTGTGCATCTACACGGTCCGAGAACTGGTGCTGGCCAGCGCCATTGGTTGTGTGCAGCAAAAGTGTCGGTCGTCGTCGTCGTCGTCGTCGTCGTCGTCGTCGTCGTCGTCGTCGTCGTCGTAGTCGTCATCGTTGCTGTCGTCGGCGTCACCGTCGTCGCTGTCGTCGTCGTCACTTCGCCGTCTCGTCGTTCCCGTCGCCACCGCCCTCGCCATCGCCAAGATCGCCATCGTCGCCCGCGTCGATCATGACGTCGTTAGCGTCGTCGCCATCGTTATCGTTGCGTTCTCGCATGTCGGAACTGACAAGCGACCGTCTTGTTCGGCCTCTGCAGCTAAGACAATCTCAAGGACTGCGACAGCATACTAGAAAGACGTCCGTTGCCATTGCGCACATTGCAGAATTGGGCACGCTTGTAGTCCAGGGTATGGGCTGAACTTGACAACATCCTCGTAAACAGTAAGCTTATGTTTGGCAACCACATGTTTCAGCAATGACACGGGGTTATTTTGAGCAGCCCCATGTTTTTCAAAGGCCGATCAGCTATCTACCGGCATGTGCATATGTGCGGGCATGTGCGCGACATGAGTTGGGGAATGTGCGCAGAATTGCTCTTTGTATTTCCCGTTCGGCTTTATTCCTCTTGCTTTATCCTTGTGGATGTGAGGCATTTGCGATGCGCGTGGCCGCATGCTCGTTCTCCTCCACCTTACCGTCCTTCACCTCCTCCTCCTCTTGCTCCCTTCTCCTCATCCGCCCTCCTCATCTTTCTCAGGGCACCGACTGGAAGTCCTACTTGACGTTTTTGTGGAAGCCGCTCTTGCAGTGCCCTCGCGCAAGAGCTTACACCATGTTGCATCACACAGAAGTGGCCCCCTAGAGTGGAGGAGGGGGAGGAGTGAGGAAGGGAAGTATGATGATGAGGTGGACAAGCCCGACGAGCAAAAAGCGAGAAGAGAGAAAGAGAGAGAGAGAGAGAGGCTGAAGATGAGTGAGAGGAGTTGGCTCAAGATCTGGAGCTGGGCGGGAGATCATCATGCGATGGGGTCGAAGCAGGAGTTCGAGGAGTCTGCGAGGCATGAGGAATTGTCAGAATCGCAGCTAAGTTGTTTCCCTAACCCGCGTTTGGTTGGGCACTCTCTTTGAATCGAGCACCGCTGCTTGTCTACTATTTCTCCTCGTTCTCCTCCTCCCTTTGATACCTGCACTGCATTCGCGACGTTGCCTACTGGCTGATGTCGTTCGAGACGTTGACTTCGCCGAGTAAGATCATGATCGGTACGATCGGAACGGGTACGGAAACAGTGGGACGGGGTTCGTTGCCAGTGTCGCCGCGGAGATGGGCGTCTGCCCGACAGTGGCCGCTCAGGGCCGCTGCTGTTTTTGGGCAGCACTTGCTTTTGCGCATCGTGCCTGGAGAGCCGGGCGTCGCCGCAAGCATCGTGACGGCCAGTGTCTCTACGTTTCCAGTCACTTTCGGACATGTGGCCGCCAGAGGATATTTTGGGGCCACGCCACGACAAACATCCTGTGACGTAGGACGATGACGTCGATGATGTTGATGATGATGCGTTCCTTCTAGCGCTGTAGCGCTGAAGCGCCCGCTCGCTTGCTTAGCGCTTTCGACCCCCCGAAACTTGAGCCAAAATGGCCACGGGGGAGGGGGGGCCCACGTCACGACAAATACTGTGAGGTAGGAGGGAAGGGGAGCAGCGGCAGCCCCTTCCGCTCCCCCTGGCCGCGTGCCGCCGGGAGCTGCGGCAGTGCCCAGGCTCTCAGGCGCGCGCCGCAGCGTCGACGGCACCTGCAGGCGGCGAGGCGCCGGGCCTGCAGGCGACGGGGCGCCGGGTGCTGCAGGAGCCCCAGCGCTTGCGGCCCCCGCGGCATGTCCAGAGACGGCGCAGCGGCAGGGCAGGCATCTGCAAGCAGCGGCAAGATGCAGCGCAGCACGCTCCTGTGCGCCGCGTTCTCCGCCGAGCGAGCGTCTGGCAGAGCACACCGCCCTGCCGGGAGGGCGCAGTGAGGGGAGGGGAGCGGCGGCAGCGTCTTCCGCTCCCCCGTCTGGCTGCTTCGCTTGTCAGGTGCACGAAGCAGCGCGGCACACTCCTGTGCGCTCCGATCTCCGTCGAGCGAGCGTCTGGCAGAGCACGCCGTCCTGCGTGGGGGGCACTGTCCCCTGGAGCTCTTGTGGGGAGTGCCTGCCGCCCCGTGCTGGAAGCGTCTGCCTTTTTGGTGTTTTGGCGATCTCAACCCTTTTTCCCATGGCGACGCCGCTTCCAACTCCTGCAGGCAAGACGCTGAAAGACGGACCATTTGGGGCTCTGGAGAGGGGGCGCTGGTTTTCGGGCCATTCCTTTGACGATTCAGGTCGTGGAGCCTGATCGTGGCCGAGGTTCGCCGTGGCCAGGAAGTCCCCCTCGTGCCTTTGGAGGTATGAACGGGGCATTGCTTAAAAGGGACGTGGTGCCATTCATGGACACGGAGATGTGATCTGCTATAGATAACCTCGCCAGATCCAGCATTGCACCACACCACTTCCTGCCGCACCCCTTTCCTACCTCCAGAGTTCCGTCTTCAGCATCCGTCCACGGTGGCAAGAAGACAGCAGGCTCCAGGCCCTCTTCTGGGCTAGAGCAGGTTGTGGTAAACGCGCGCGTGCATGCGAGCCGTGCGGCGCGCGAGAAAAGCGGACAGAGACGGAGAGTGGCGAGGGCGAGAGGCGAGCAGCAGCCCTCGCGAGTGGAACCCTCGCGAGGGCCGGGTCGGAGGAGGAGGAGGAGGAGGAGGAGGAGAAGGAGGAGGAGGAGGAGGGGCGGTCAGGGAAAGATGGGGGTCACGACAACTGCCGCATGCATCTTGTTTCGGCCCTGCCCCTGGGCGCTCCCCGCGATGCATGTCGGCGCCCCCGGTGCCAGCCGGCGCCGAGAACGCCAGCGACGCGAGCCGATAGGGCGAGCCCACCCGTTGCTCTCTCTCTCTCGCTCTCCCCTTGTTCGGCCGACCCAAGATCAGGCCGAACGAAAGAGGGGGATAGGGAAAGGGGGGGTTACGAAATCTGCTGCATGCAGCTGGTTTCGGCCCCGCCGCCGGGCCCATTCCTCGATACACAGGCGCCTTTCGGCGCCGGGAGGCGCCGGGAAAATCAGCTACGTGAGCTGATTCTCACCCCCCCCCCTTTGCTATCCCCCCCTTTCGCCCAGCCCGACAAGAGGGGACAGATCGTGGCTCATGGGCTTATTTTTCATCTCCACCACTGTGGACCACGAGCGGCCGACCTCTGGCAATGGTTTGCTGGGCGCGGTCGGCGCCTCGCACCGCAAAGCACTACCCTAGGTTCAAGTCGGGCGTGTCCCTCTACAGGAGGAATATTCAAAAATAATCAAAAGCATTGTATAGAGACGATTGTTCTACCATGTTTTGACCATTATATTTGTTTTGAGTATTCTGATTTTGTCGTCCAAAATCCGCCTGTAGGGGGACATGCCCGACCTAACCCTGGGTCAGCCGCAGAGTCTGAAGTCGGCGCAGTGTGCGAAGGCAGCTGCTGCTGGGCTATCCCAGACCCAGGACGGGTCGTGCGCCCAGCTCTCCCAGCTGCGCGTTGCAGGGGGCGAAGCCAGGGAGAGTTCAGGCCTGCTTCGTCGAGCTGCGGTGTCGCTGTGGACAGATGACTCGTGGCACTGCACGCATGTGCCTGCACATACAATATACGCAGTCTCGCGGCCTGGCCCTCGGAGCGTGACCTGTGCAGGTACATCGTCTTCCCCGCGCAGTTCCTGTTCCTGTACTCGTACCACCCGTCTGGCCCCATGGGGGACCTGCCCAAGAGGCTGGAGGCCCCGCGAGCTCGCCCTCGCCCGCGGCCCCCCCCCCCCCCTCGTGGCACCTGCGCGGCACCTGCGGCCTCCGAGCGACGCCTCCCCTCCGGAGAGGCGGCCCGAGGTTGGGGCCCTGCCGCGGCGGGGTCCCGATGACGATCGAGATGGGTTTCAAGTCGGGCCCGTCCCTCCACAGGGGGGGATAGTCAGAAGCAGCACAGGAATAGTCGGGGGACGATTTTTTGACATTTCTTGAGCACTGTCTGGGCATTGTCGGGTATTTTTTATCTTTCGTCCACAGTCGGCCTGTAGGGGGACACGCCCGACCTAAAAAATAGGTACGGAAAGAAGGGGTACAAAGACCGACAGCAGTTCCTGTTCAGTTTGAAGAGGGCTCGCCGTCCGCGCCGCCGCGGGCGTTGTTCTTCGAAGACATAGAGCCGCCTTCTCAACAGCGGTCGCTGTTGGTTTTGGATAGCATTTGTTGTTGGGCATTGGATTCATGTTTCTCGTACCCGTTTCGGATGCCCATTGTAAAACATAGACGTCGCGGCGCACGGCGGGACGCTTTATGGCGCGTTCCAGGAAACGGCCTCGCCTTGGGCGCAGATCGCCTTCGGCGGAAGACCAGCGGAAGCTGGCGGACCGACAGCGGCGGAGTGTCCGACATTTTACGTTTGGTGGGTGACTGGCGGAAGGCGGCGAAAGTCAAAGATAGTTGTCAACGCTTGTTGGTCGGGGATGTCCAGGATCGGCCACGTGGGCGCCAGCAGAATTCGTCGGCCCAGCTCCAGACATCCTCCGACTTGTTCTTCCAATCACGGGCCCCTGAGCTACCGGTCCATTCCCCGGGGCTCCCGGATTCATGTTGATGTTCCCAGGGCCCGAGAGCGGCCTGCTAAGGCCGACAATGCATCAATGTCGTCGGATGGTGTGTGTGTGTGTGTGTGCGTGTGTGTGTGTGTGTGTGTGTCGGTGTGTGTGTGTGTGTTTGTGTGTGCGTGTTTATATATGTGTGTGTGTGTGGGTGTGTGCGAGTGTGTGTGTGTGTGTGTTGCGAGTGTGTGTGTGTGTGTGTGCGAGGGTGTGTGTGTGTGGTTGTGTGTGTGCGTGTGTGTGTGTGTGTGTGTTCGTGTGTGTGTGCGTGTGTGTGTGTTGCGAGTGTGTGTGTGTGTGTGTGAATGTGTGTGCGTGTGTGAATGTGTGTGAATGTGTGTGAATATGTGTGTGTGTGTGTTTGTGGGTGGGTGGGTGGGTGGGTGAGTGGGGGGGAGGGAGCGCTGTGCCTTCGGCCCTCCCGCGCCCAGATCGAGCTTTGAATGTCGGTCTTCGGGGAGCGAGGTTTGTCAGGCCTCCAGGGCTCCTCGTCGCCACGGCTGGACTCTCCTGGAAATTTTGGCTAGAACGCACCGCAGGACAGGTCTGGGGTTCGTGTCTCGACCCCCGATCCTTGAAGCTGTCGCGACGGTTGGTTTTCTATTGTTTTTCTCACAAGGAGGCCGTTGCTGGGCACCGTGCCCGTCAGCAAAGAAGCGGCTCGGGATGGCCTTCACCCCGCTCGATTAGGGTTGCGGATCTGCTTCGTGTTTTACTGCCATTTCGCTCGTGATGCGAATGGCACGCGCGCGAGCTAACTGGGCCGACACCGAAACATGTGGATGTTGCTTCAGGAAGATGACTCGGGATGAATCGCTGGTCCCGGGTTAGTGGCCGATACCTCTAGGGGTCCGCGAGACGGAAGGATTCAGGGTGATGCGTCGTGGGTCTGAGTTTCTCCTGCGCCTCCACTCTGAACGCTGCCAGCGGTTGCCTACGTTGGGTTGTAAATTCAGCTAGATCTTGGTCTCCTTCACGTTTAGTCCCGCTGATGTGGGTCAATGTGGCTTATCTGGGTGTAGACGGCTTATCAGAACCAGTCTAATCCTTGGTACACTGTGGGTCCATCTGGCCTCTTATTCTTCTTTAGATGGCTCCATGGCCTTTCATCGCCACCCCGACTTGTCTTTTGACCTTCCTGGGACTCGTGGCGAGGCCCAGTGGGCCCGAAAACGGCAAAACCGATCGGGTGCCCACTTCTTCCTGGACCCGCTTCCTTCGTGCTGATTGCCCAGACCCCCGACGTTAAGTATTTTTCAGAACGCGGCCTTCCAGATGTCCGAACCCTTTCCTCATGACCGGCTTTTCATCTAGAGTCGGACTTCCTGATTGTTTGGTAAGGGCCCCAAGAGGCCGACAGCGTTCCGACGCGTTTCCGCCGCAATTTGTTTCGCATCGCGAGGGGGACTTTGGCTTGCTCTCGTTCCATCCAGGTCGGGAAGCTCGGTATCGTTTAACCGATCCCTATCCCAGGAGGAGGAGGAGGAGGAGGAGGAGGAGGAGGAGGAGGAGAAGGACCCCCTCCCCCTCCAACTTGTGGTGGTGGCAGTGGGAAAGCAGACCCACCGGTGGGCTCCCCGCGGCCGACGCTTCACCCGGTGCCCGCCGGCGGGCGCCTCGTGGGCGCCCCGCTCTGAGGGGGGGGGCTGCCAGCGTTTGGCGTGGTGCCCGCCTGCGGGCGCGGCCCGGCGCTGAGTGGGTACTGCGAGGTGTTGCTCGGTGCCCGCCGTTCTCCCCCTCCTCCTCCCTCCTCCCTCCTCCTCCTCCCTCCTCCTCCTCCCTCCTCCTCCTCCCTCCTCCTCCTCCTGTGCACCACGCGGGCTGCACACCACACAGCTTGCACCACATGGCTTGCACCACATAGCCTGCACAGCGTGCAGTATCTTGCACCACATGGCTTGCCCCACACATAGTTTGCCCCACGTGGCCTGCACCACGCAGACTGCACCGTGCAGCTTAGACCATGTGACTGCACCGTCCAGCTTTCGTGTCCTCGGTGCAATAACTTACTGTTTAGGGGTCCACGCTGGCTAACATTATTGAGAGTAGTATTGGCATTGCTCTTTTTACACATCGTGCTAGTGTTCCTATCATTTCGGTTGTTCCTCCTCGATGCGGAAGAAGATACAATGGCATAACCATACACGTTGGGAGCTCCGCGCGGAGTTCGTGGATCAGCGTTGGACCCGCGCGCGCCAGGGGAGGGGTGTCTAGAGTCTAGAGCCGATCCCAGAAATCTGAGTGGACCTCCAAAAGTTGATGTTTATGCAGTGCTATATTTGCCTCGCCTCGCTGGCACCATTGCCGCTCGTTGGCTGCCCGTGGCTTCCGCTGGATCAGCTCAGCCCAACGCTTCCGACATACACTTGGAAAGTCGATTGCATTGGTGATCGAAGCCGCCCAGGCCAGCTAACAGCTGCAGCGTAATTCTTGTTCCCTCACGCTTTTCGGCGAGAGTGTCCCAGCCGCACAGGGCAGGTGCGCGAGCATTGGGGCGTGTAGCGTGGCAGTTTGTCTCTGCTGCTGCGTGCGCTCCTCCTTCGTCAGGCTCAGGGAGGACAGAGGATCGATGGTTTTGCGTGTTTGCTTCTTGCTGGGCCTACAGAGAATCCAGAGCGCGGGGAGGAAGAACAGGACGAAAATGAGCGGGAGGAGGAGAAGGAGAAGGAGGAGGAGGAATAATAGAAAAGAAAGGAGCCCAGGCCTCCAGCGTCTCGAAGAAAACACGGCGGGAGAATTTGACACTTGGACGCTCGTCTGTCGGGCCCCAGGGCCGTCAACACAGCCTGCCCGCGACGAACAACCTGTCCCCGAAAATAGCACTGAACACTGCAGGGCCCGCGCCGTGCAGGCCACGACGTCGGAGGTAGGAGAGGCGCCTCCCCTTTCCGGTGCGCACACCCGCAGTGCCCCCCCCGCCCCCTCCGCAGGCCGATTGGAGGAAGAGGCACGCAGAGTCCGCGGAGGCGGCGTTCAAGCGGGCAAAGGAGAGCCGCCTGCCCCTCTGTTCGCACCCTCGCCTTCTGCATGCTCCTCCTCTTCCCTCTCCTCCAGCTCCTCCTCCCTCTCCCCCTCCTCCTCCTCCTCCTCCTCCTCCTCCTCCTCCTCCTCCTCATGTTCCTCCTCCGCCTCCTCATGTTCCTCATCCTCCTTCTCCTCCTAATCATGGGAACCTCCAAGGACGCGGAAGCACCGCGACCCTTCGCTGTGGCATGAGCTACGGCACATGGGTGGTGTTCGCATCTACGGTTAGAGCGCAACCGATTTGAAATCTTATTTTGGCACCTCCGAGTTTCGAACCTCGTACGTACGTTAACCCCGCTGCAGTCTACTAGGGTGCGATTGGCTTTTGGTGAAGTGGATCGGTATTGCCACAAGGTCCGCAACGACCATCACAATTTGAAACTTCTGGGCAGCGATTACAGTGAGTTTGTGCAGAGAGGTTTGGGTATGATGGCAGATTATGTGTTCGACCCTGCGATGCACGCCATAGTGCCCAGAGCCGCTGAAGTTCTTGAAGATCACAGGGCTGTCACAGAAAAGAGGCATGGAAGTCCTTAGCGAAGCAAGGTTTCTTGGCGGGGGGGCGAGTCAGGCCCATTCCACCTCCAAGGTGAGAGGGAAGCACGAGCTGCTGAACTTCGACACGGGGGCCCAGCCGCACGCTCGACTGGTGGGTGGGAGTGTGGCGCCACCATGGCGCCCAACCTCCTGTGCTACTACCTGGGCGCGAAGATTGGCCCGACCTGCCCGAGCTGGATCACAAGGCGGTGCGTGCTGCGATTCGTAGGTTCTCTACTCGCACGGTCGCAGGCCCTTGCCGTATCTCACCGAGGTGTTTGGATCCGATGTCTGACCAGGCGATCTCTCGAGTGGCCAGGATGCTCGTGCTCCTTGAAAGGTTACTAGCGTGGCCGCCTGAGTGTGTTTCTAGTGAGCTGGCGTGTCTTCCGAGGCCCGTCGGCGATACTCGCCCCATAGTGCTATCTCACACGATGGTGCGGCTTTGTTCAGGAGGGGGTAAAAAAGACAACATGCACTTAATCGTCGATCCCCAGGAGAAGAAGGGAACATATGGGAAATGGTGGGGGGAATATTAAAACCCAGAAAATATGGAAAAATATCGTGAATCATGGGGCTTGTGTGTATTTATGTGTGAGTCCTTGGGCTCCTTTTTTTGTGGCAGACTCAGGAGACCAGTTTCGGCTGCCTGACAAGCCGGCTACGCGTGCGAGCAGGCGTGGGGCACCAGAGTTGGCGACGCCTCGAGCGACTCTGCTTTCGATCAGGATTTGCAGCAGGAAGCTCCAGAGAAGGAAAAGGTACCCATACCACTACCCTTCTCCCGTTTTCCCCTTTTTGGGCCTCCTGGGAGACCCTCGTCGCAACCGCTGGATTCGCGTCTTGGTTTCGCCAAAGTTGAGCAATTATTGGGGGAGCACGCATGCACGATACTGATAGCTATGAGTAAGTGCTGCGACATGGTGAATCCGCACGCGCTATTTCGAGAGGGCCAGGCACTAGGTTTACCCGTCCGCCTTTTGTCGTTCCCCATCCCGAGCTTGCAGCAGCCCCGACATATCAAAGCGTTTCGGAGTGTGTCCAGAAGTTTCCGAAACTTCCAGTGGATGCTGGTTTGGTGTACGCACGCTGCTGATCTGCTGTTGCTGCTCACGTATCACCAAGTGCAGCGCGTGTCTACGGACGCTCCATCAATGACCCCCTATACACTCGCGAATGACAGTCCTCCAGAGTATCTCCCAGGACCCGAAGGACTCCAAGTAATTAGCGGTGGCGGCAAGGGGTTTCATCGAGGACGCTAAGGGGTTCGGCATGGTCTTCCAGGCGTCATGGTCTTTGGCAGTTGCTGGACCTCGGAGATTTTGGCAGGGGTTGCAGCACCACGTGGGCTCCGAGAAGATCCCGTGCGAGGCTCACTTGAGGAACCCAGGTCACGAGTTCATGGGGCCCACGGTCATCAGAGGCATGGCGAGGCAGAGGCCTAAACGAAAGCGTGAACGCAAGCCTCGTTTCCCAATTCAGAAGGAAGCCGTAGTCGGCAAACAGGCGACGGCTCTGTGGCGCACGGGGGCCCTTCCTTCAGTGGCGCATGGTGTTGCAGTTGCTGGAGTCAGTCATGCATCACTTCGAGAGCTCCGCCTTTCCGCCGCCGTCTTGAACGGCGTTGTTTGGGCACTGTTTCAGGCGGTGCAGTACCCCCTAGGTGAAGCAGTGATCACCACGGACTGCATCGCTGTCTCCGATGGCTTGCTGTTGCAGTACCAGGCCAAATTCTGGAGTTTTGGTCCGCGGCTTGGACAACGTACGGGACATCGTGCCCGAAAGCGCACAGCTGATATGAGTCCCTTCACATGCGCCGTGGAAGGAAGCCCTTGCTGGAGGTGTGCAGTGGCGCAGTGTTCGAGCGAACGGACTTGTTGATACGTTCGCCAGGCGTGGAGCCAGAGATCACCCTTCGAATGCAGAGGTCGAAGAGAAGCGCCCCTTGTTGGGATGGCGGCCCGGTTCGGTGCGTACTGTATTGGCCGTGCTCCGTCTCACTTCGCGGCCGTTGGCTTCCCTGATGCTGAGAAACCTCGTCCCGTCGTGTGTTCGACCCGCTCGACTTCGTCTCGTCTCCGAAAGGATATCAGGTGAAGTTCAAACTCGCCGCTTGGGGTGTCTCCAGAGCGGGCGCATTTGTGCCATTCGTGCAAGGCTGTGCTGCTCCAGCTGTCCAGGTGCGCCGTCCAGGCTCGTCCAAGCTTGCCATAGTCACATGCTGTGGTGATGGGCGGGTGGGTGGGAGGACGGGGTGGTCTGGTGCTCTCTCTCTGCGGTGGTTCGGCGAGAAGGCAGATCCTCTCACTCCAAGGGAGTTGCCGAGAGCACAGTACAGTGTAGCAGGCCGCAAGAGCGCGCCCAAGGCTCTTAAGCGCGGCACCGACCCATCCACCCAGCGCCCCCCCCCCCCGCAAGGTCTATGCCCATGGCTCCTCCACTAGACTTCTGGCGAGTCCCATGGAACCATGGCTTGTATGACAGTCTGGGCGAGGCGAGGGCTACTCGCTGGGAGGATCAGTTTTACGCGCCACTTTTGGTTTGCGGATTTCGATCGCTAGGAGGCCGTAGGGGCCCTGGGAGGGCTTGGCGTCAGTGCGGAAAGTTTCTGGATGATGAAGGTTCCTTCAGGGGGGCCTTCGCCGAAGAAGAGGACATCGGGAAGGGAGGAGGAAAGGGAGGAAGGAGGAGGGAAGCGGGAGGAGGCAGGATGGAGGAGGGATGAAGAGGAAGAGGAAGAGGAAGAGGAGGAGGAGGAGGAGGAGCAGGAAGAGGAGGAGGGAGGAGCGAGGAGGAGGGAGGAGAGAGGAGACGGAGGAGAAGGAGGAGAAGGAGGAGAAGGAGGAGAAGGAGGACAAGGAGGACACGGAAGACAAGTAGGACAAGGAGGGCAAGGAGTAGGAGGAGAGGAGGAGAAGGAGGAGAAGGAGAAACAGAAGGAGCAGGAGAAGAAGGAGGAAAAGGAACAGAAGGAGGATAAGGAGGGAGGAGGGAGGAGAAGCAGGAGAAGGAGGAAAAGGAGAAGGAAGGATGAGGAGGAGGAAAGAAAGAGGATGAGGAGAAAAGGAGGAGGAGAAGGAGGACAAAAGGAGGAGGAGGAGAAGGAGGAGGAGAAGGAGAAAAGGAGGACGAGACGGAGGAGAAAAGGAGGAGTTGAGGGCGGGAGGGAGGTAGGTAGGTAGGTAGGTAGGGAGCAGAGAGGAGGAAGGAGGAGAAAAGGAGGAGAAGGAGGAATAGGAAGAAAAGGAGGAGGAGGGAGGAGAACGAGGAGACTGAGGAGAAGGAGGAGAAGGAGGAGTAGGAGGAGGGAGGAGGATGAGGAGGAGGATGAGGATGAGGATGATGATGATGATGATGGTGATGATGATGATGATGATGATGATGATGATGATGATGATGATGCTGCTGATGACGATGACGATGACGATGACGATGATGATGATGATGATGATGATGATGATGATGATGATGACGACGACGATGATGATGATGATGATGATGATGATGATGGTGATGGTGATGGTGATGGTGATGATGATGATGATGATGAGGATGAGGATGAGGATGCGGATGAGGATGAGGATGAGGATGAGGATGAGGATGAGGATGAGGATGAGGATGGGGATGATGCTGATGATGAGGATGATGATGATGAGGATGATGATGATGATGATGATGATGAGGATGAGGATGAGGATGAGGATGAGGATGATGATGATGATGATGATGATGATGATGATGATGATGATGATGATGATGAGGATGAGGATGAGGATGAGGATGAGGATGAGGATGATGATGATGATGATGATGATGATGATGATGATGATGATGATGATGATGATGGTGATGATGGTGATGATGGTGATGATGGTGATGATGATGAGGATGATGATGAGGATGATGATGAGGATGATGATGAGGATGAGGATGAGGATGAGGATGATGATGATGACGAGGAGGAGAAGGAGGTTGACGTAAAGGGGTAAATGCTGAGTGAACCCAGAGTCGCGACCGTCAAGGCTGGCCGGAGGGCGAGGAGGGGCAGCGGGGAGGGTGCGGGTGCGGTCCCAGGGCCGTCCTCGGGGCCGAGGGCGCCGAAGCGCACCCGTCGCTGGGCGGCCTGGCGGCGGCGGCGGCGCGCGAGCCCGCGCTGCGCCGCACGGAAGGCCCCCCTCTCCCCGTCAGCCCCCGGTTGCCCGCTTTCAAGCCACTCCACGTGGGCCTCTTCACGGGCCGCTCCTCCGGCGGCAGGCCCCGCAGATCCCACGGCGGTGGGGAGAGGTGGCCGACCGGAGAGAAAAGCAAGCGCCGTCCCCCGAGCGATGGCCTCGTGGACGGGCGTCCAGGTGCGACGCCTGGAGGATGGCCTCGGCATGGCCTCTGTGGGAAGGGCGTGGGCCTCGGGACAGCCGAGAGAGGACTTCCTTGCGCTTGGCCGTGGGCACGCGGGGCAAAGTTCAAGCACGTTCGCATACGGGAAGGCGGCGTGCGAACCGCACGCTGAGCAGAGCAGCACCTTCCATCGATATGCCTCAAGGGTGTGGTGAGAATGGTGGGCAAATTGGCCTCGCAGACACCTCCCCCCGCCTCCAAGACGAGCCTCCCCCACCCGTCGCACCGCCTCCCCACCGTCACGAGACGGGACAAGTGGCGGGCCAAGGCATTGGGGGACGCAGCTTCCTGCTCCGAGCGGCGATCGTCCACCAAGGCAGCACAGACACGACAACACCACTTGCCTGCGCACGTTTCACAGGTGTGGGACGAGGCGGGAGAAGGAGGAGGAGGGGTAGGAGGAGGAGGAGGAGGAGGAGGAGGAGGAGGAGGAGGAGGAAGAGGAGGAGGAGTAGGAAGAAGAGGAGGGAGGAGGAGGAGTAGGAGGAGGAGGAGTAGGAGGAGGAGGAGGAGGAGGAGGAGGAGGAGGAGGGAGGAGCAGGACCAGGACCAGGAGCAGCAGCAGGAGCAGGAGGAGGTGGCGACGGAAGCCGCACGCGAGCGCGCTCCCGGCGGTCGCGCCACCGAGGAGGAAGGGCAGACGATCGGGGTGCCCTCGTTCTTCGCCAAGGTCAACGGATGAGCCGGCGACAGGCCGAACTCTGCCCACGGCATTCGCATTCATCGACTAGACGTAAGAGTGACCCTTCGCTGGAGTGACCTCTGGTGCGGCCTCGTCGTGGTCCCGCCGATCGCTGAGCTTGATGCGATAGCAGCTGATTGCGCGCTAGGATTTAGCCACGTTGCGCCCCCTCAGTCCGAGCACCAAGGGTCACTCTTGTTTCGGGTCACTCTTGCGTGTAGCCGTAGTAACTGCCAGAGGTCCGCGCGGATGTCTTGGATCGGCGCTGGTCCCCCCTGGTGACGCTTCGGCGCCACCCCTGGCGCTCTCCGAACTCCAGGAAGGGGGACCCAGCGCCGATAAAAAACACTGGGGGTGCATCTGACAACTTACGCTCATGTCGTTTATTGCCCTCCTTCTTCGTCCTTGCCCTTCCCCGTCCCTCCTCCCCCCCTTGCCCCCCCCTTCTAACACGTCAAGCTGTGGCATGCGACGGTCTCAAGTCAAAAAGACCCTGCCCGACAAGGCTCCCAGAAGAAATCCGAATCGTTCTCCAGGGATCCTGCGCAATCCATGTGGATCCCAGATCCGTAGGACTTCCGGAGGAACCATCAGGAATCCGATGGAGCCCTGCGGCATCCGACTGGATCCACGCAAAACAGGAGGAATCTTGGTGAACAGAACTGACGCCATGCGACAGCCCCAGGCACGGCGCTTGTGCACAACTGCCGCCACAGAGCCAGGTTTCCGGCAGGACGTGCACGACCATTCGATTGTGAAACGCACACGTATCGACGGAGCCCCCGACTGTGAAGCAGAAAAGCAGATCGCATCACGACTGTGAAGAAGACAGTGAGGAGGGAGAGGGAGAGGAGGACAGGGACAAGGACGAGAGGGAGAGGAGGAATCTTGGGGACCCCAGGAGTCCATCACCCCCGTCACCCTCCTCCCAGTGCCCCCTCCCCTCCTGCTCCTCGGGCTGGGTGTCAGGCGGCCGTCATCCGAAGGACAGTATGAAGGCCCGCCCCCGACTTTCCCAGCCCTTCCCTGCAGCCCAGCTCCTCAAGGCAGGGGCGGCGATGTAGGGTCGAAGAAGGGCGTAAGGGGAGAACGGATGTAATCCCTAGGTTTCGGTTACGCCCGGGTCGGCCTAACCCTAGCCTTCCTCTTCAGCATGTGATGGTCCTGTTCCTCGGGCCCCTGCATGCGCCCGTGCTCCAGCATGACAACTGCCGCTCTCGCTCCGCTCGTCCTGCCGACCTGCGCCCGACCCTGCCTCTGCTCTGCGCTTGTCTCTCGGGGCGGCGGGGGGGGGATCGAGGACCGGTTGAGGATCGAGGGGCGACAGAGGATGGATCGAGGATCGACGGCCTGGGAGCTCGAGACTTCGAGGATCGATTGACGATCGAGCTTGTTGCTGCCTCCCGTGGAAGATCCCTGCTCTAGGCTCGACAGAGGATCGAGGATCGATGGAGAAATGAGGGTCGATCGAGGACCGAGGATCGAGCGAGGATCGAGGATCGAAGATCAGCCGAGGATCGAGGGTTGATCGAGTATCGAGGATTGTGGAGAGGATCGAGCATCGACCGAGGGCCGATCATACTTTTTGTTTGCTTGTGCTTACGCTCCTGGCCCTAAGTCGGGCGTGTCCCTCTACAGGAGGAATATTCAAAAATAGTAAAGAGCGTGTTCTACCGCTGCTGGCGGAAAACCGGGGGGGGGGTCACTGGGGGTTGCCAACCCGTCACCCCCCCCTCTTGAAAACTAGGGGGGGGTCACTACCGGTTCGAACCCCTTCCCCACCCCCACCCTCAGTCCATCATGAAAAGGTGGGGGTCACTACTGGTTCGAACCCCCCCTCCTCGAAATCCGGGGGGGGTCACTACCGGTTCGAAGCCCCCCCCCCGCCCCTCGAAAACGGGGGGGAGTCAATACTGGTTCGAACCCCCCCCCCCTCGCCGCCGGCTGGAGCAATTGTGCAGACAATGGTGGGAACGGTGGTGGTGGGGACAGTGGTGCGGGGACAGTGGGACAGTGGTGCGGACAGTGGTGGGGAGGGTGGTGGTGGGGGCAGTGGTGAGGGGACAGCGGGACAGTGGTGGGGACAGTGGGACAGTGGTGGGGACGGTAGTGGTGGGGACAGTGGTGAAGGCGGTGGTGCGGACGGTGGTGGGTACGGTGGTAGTGGGGACAGTGGTGCGGGAACAGTGGGACAGTGGTGCGGACAGGTGGGGAGGGTGGTGATGGGGACAGTGGTGAGGGGACAGCGGTACAGTGGTGGGGACAGTGGGACAGTGGTGGGGACGGTAGTGGTGGGGACAGTGGTGAAGGCGGTGGTGCGGACGGTGGTGGGACAGTAGTACAGTGGGGAGAGTGGTGGGGACAGTGGGGACAGAGGGACAGTGGTGGGGACAGCGGGACAGCACAGTGGGACAGCGGCGGGGACAGTGGGGACAGTGGGACAGTGGTGGGAACAGAGGGAACAGTGGGACAGTGGTGGGGACCGTGGGAAAAGTGGGGAGAGTGGACCGTGGTGGGAAAATGGTGGGGAGAGTTGGGACGATGAGACACTGGTGTGGGTTGGGTGGGGGGGGGTTCGAACCGGTAGTACCTCGGTTGTCTGGAGGGGGGGGGGGTTCGAACCGGTAGTGACCCCTCCCCTGGTTGTCTGGAGGGGGGGGGAGGGGTTCGAACCGGTAGTGACCCCCCCCGGTTTTCCGGAGGGGAGGGGGGGGGTTAAGGGGGGGTGGTTTTGCCGCCGGGGGAAGGAGGGGGGGTCCAGCAGGGGGGTGGGGGGGATTTTCGGTGGAGGGGCGGGAATTTTCCGCAGTAAAGAGGCGGTGGATCACGCTCTTTCAAAAATAGTTAAAAAATAGTATTGGGGCGATTTTTCTTTTGTTTCTGACCATTTTGGAGTGTTTTGTTGGTTTTGCTTTTTTTGATTTTTCGTCCAAACCTTCCTGTTATAGGAGGACGCGCCCGACCTAGTCCTGGCCGCATCGGACCTCCACAAGAGCCTTCGCGCACCTGCCAGGAAAGGCCCCAGCCGTGGAAGGCCGATCGGCCTCCCCTGTCGACCTCTGGAGATCGCGCTGCGAGATCTCTCGGCCTTCCCTGACAGCATCGCGTCTCGGAACGAAGACTACACAAGGTGTTCGGCAACCTCTGGCCTCCGGGGGACCTAGCCCCGGGACCTCCAACACACATGGTCAGGATGAGAATGCAGCCCCAGTAAGAGTTCCAGACCCATTTGGGGCCTTTGCCTCAGGAGCGAGCGAAACACCACGCACGTGGTTCATGAAGTTTCGGGAACCTCGAGGGTACGGTTGCGAGCGTTCGTATCACGATGCTGGTTTCGCGGACTGGGGGCCGTAGGTCCCCATGACACAATTTCATCCCGTTTGATCTAGTGTGGGGATCTCGTTTCCCTCTGAAGGCTCCTACCATGGCTAGGCAGGTCGCGCGCTCCCGCTGAGTAGCCTGGCTCCCCGTAAATAGTATTCCTGTTATTCCAAAGCAGGATCGGGAGTTAGTTCGCCGAATCCTTAATCAACAACGGGTGGGATGCAGGTCCGCGCGAAGTAAGTTCGAGTCCGCCCTTTCCGCCTTTTCCGCCAGCCGCCAGTCGAGTCCTGTCCAGTCCACACCAAACCCGTGCCACGGCAAGTATTCACGTACATGGCTTGGCGCGTACCGTCTTGGGATCTGAATGTCACGTGCCCATGGGCTCGCCCTGCCTCTGAGCAGATCGCCCACAGGAGGGCGAGCGGTCGCAGTGAAGGAACGGAGTCCCGAGGGGGCCAACATTCATGTTCGTGCATTTCGAAACGCCATGATGGAGCGGGGCCCTCAGGAGCGCAAGAAACCTGCGTACAGATACGTCTTCGATCGTTTCGAGAGTATGCCTAGCACGACAGTCTGTCATACAAGGCTGGCTTCGCGGACTGGGGGGGGCAGTGCTCATGTACGTGGTTGGGCGCGTACGTCTATTGATCGCCGTGAAGGGGGTGAGGTCCCGAGGGACACGGGTCCTTGAGAGTCTGTTGCCGAATGCGGGCTTTGGGGGCCTTTCCTAGGCCCTGGGACTTACAAAAGACGAACTCGTGGCCGAGCCGCATCCGTATCCGCGGCCTCGCGGGCGAGGCCCTTTGGCAGAGATCCCGCGGATACGGGGCACCGCGTATCCGTGCGACGTATTTGTGCGACCGCGTATCCGCGGGATCGCGCCCCAGAATCCAGACCGCGAGGGCGCGGATACGCATGTGTTCGCCGCTCGTGGCTACCAGAATGAACAACTGGTCGAAGGCAGGGGCCTCTGGGCCACCAAACGGGCAAACCGCTCAAGATATCCCCACAATCTGGGCGCGAACGGGCAAGTGTCCCGAAAGACATCCCCAGGATGCCGAACTAGTCGAAAGGCAGGGGAAGGCCGCGGGGGCTAGGGCCAGTTTCACTCTGGACTTGCCTCCTCTATGTCAGTCCTGAAGGTTTTCGCCATCCCTGACCCTCCCGGAGGACTCCGGCGTCACGGCGGGATCCGAAGATCATCGCGCGAAGATAGTCGGGAAGATAATTGCACTTCGCAGCTATGATCGCGAAGAGAACTGCGAAGATAACCGCTCGAACAGATTCGCGAAGATAATCGCGAAGATCCGAAGATAATCGCGAACATAATCGCGAGGACCCCCAGGAGTGCGAAGACAACCGCACTTCGCGCATCGCGGCTTGGGTTGGAGAGGCGCTTGTGTCCAGGTCGGCCGCGCGAGGGCGCGAAGACAACCTTGCGTCGCGCATCGTGGGGCCCGGTGCGCGAAATTGGGCGACATTTAGGAGTTGACATCCTGGTGCGAACGCGCCCCAAGACAGGTCGGAGGGCAGATTTGTGCTGTTGCACGGGAAGCCGTTGCGTCTCCATGCCCAGCGGCGTGTGTCCAGGGCACGGGACGGAGTACACTGAAAAGCAAGAACGGAGTGAGCATCCCCTTGTGGCAAGAAGCACGCCGCTCGTTTTTTGTTTGTGGCATTTGTTTGATTCCGAGTGACCTTCCCGAGCCTCAGGAACGTCCAAAAGCGATGCGGACTGACAAACCCATCCCGGAGACGGTTTCCGGTCTTCTGGGTGGGCAGGCCGTGAGCAAATCACGACGTTTTGACTGTGAGGTACAAATGTGTTCCATGTCGTCCAAATTGGGCTCGAGCAGATGAGGTCGGATGGGATCGCGCCGCATCGCCGATGCGGCGCATTTCCCTGGCTTCATCTGCACTGGCCCCACTTGTCAGCTCTTTGTCGTGGGGTGCCCTAACCAGCGCCTGCCCAGAGTATGTTTGGTTGGGGAGTTCCCCAGGACTTGGATTTCAATTGAATGCCGACGACTATCGCCAGGGCGTTGGTGAAGTTGCTTCCCAGGGCTGCGTCCGAATTGCGGCCCGAACGTAATCCCGAAGTGCTGCCCGAAATAGTGCCCGAATTCTTTGCCCGAATCGTCGGCCTTCCATATGCGAGCCGGCTCGCAAGCGAAACGTCGATAAATCGGGCAAAGTTTTGGGGCAGCAGTTCGAGTCGCAATTTTGGCAGGATCCTGGACCGCCGACCAGGCGTGGTACGAGATACGCGTTTACTCTGAAAACAACGGCTTGGAGAAGCATTTGGGCAGCATTCGGTCGGGAATTCGGGCAGCAGTGGCTGGGGTTTTGGGGCAGGGTTCGGGCTAGACTTTCGCACCCGACGGCGGAGGAGGTGTGACGCTTTGGGTGGCCCACTTTGCTCTACAGACGTCCGGGAGTCTGCGGTGTCATAAGCATGTTGCGTTATCTCTTGTGGCATGTGCAGAACTTGTACGATTCGGCATTGAAGTATCATTCGGCTGCCTCGCCCCTGCAGGCTGTTTTATCGCCTTCGTCTTGTGATTTGGGGCCAACTTCTTCCGTACAGTAGTGCCTGTAGCCACTCATTTTGTCAGCTGGCACGAGTCTGGCGACAAGTCTCGCGACGCTCCAGTTGAGTTTCCGCATTGCTGCTGGTTTCTTGCCTGCTGCACTGCAGGCTGTGCGGCGCGATTTTTCAATATACGCCCGCCTGTGTGGGCCTGCGGAGCTCGTTGGGTCAGCTCTTCGCAAAAGTTCTCGGAAGGCAGGTGATGAGGAGTCTCGCGAGCCTTGACAGCTCGGGCAGCCCGCCATACCCCATCCCTTACTCGTTCAGGCGTTCGTCCTAGTGTTATTCGGTGGGATCTACGTGGGCGCGGCATCGCCTGCCCTATTGGCGCGGAGAGCCCGACAGTTGAGACCTTCTCCAGCGGTGTCCTCCATGGTCTCGCAGGTGTGCCAAGGCCCAGCAGCCCAGAAGGAGCCACCCAGCGGCCCTCCACTCTCACGACGGTGCCGCCGAGTGAGCTTGGATAGGGATCAGAGATGTGCCAGAGTGCAGTCCGAGAGCAGGATCCGGTTCGATCCGATCGATCCGATTCGATATAGACTTCTCGGCTGGTCCGATCCGATTCGATCCCGACGTTCCGACGATCCGAGGCGGCCTGATGGTACCCTGCCGCCGCCGACCTGGCTCGATTCCGACTCCGTGCCGGTGCGGCCCGATCCGACGCACGTTCCAACTCGATGCGCTTGCCGGGTTCGATGTTGACTGATCCTGGAGTCGGCGTCCCCCCAACATATATGTGTGTGTGTGTGTGTGTTCGTCGCCCCCCAGGGGCGACGCGCGCACCGAGAAATCTTACATAATATTCTTTGTGGCCGGCGCTTTCTGGCCACATCGCTCAGGAAACGATGCACTACAAGATGGGATACTATATGTTCGGGTCGGACGGGCGCCTCCAAGGCGGACACATAGTATTAGTACGTCTCTGTGCGTCCCATGGAGAGCCAGCGCGATCCTTCCAGAGGTTGCCCGGACAACACGCCAGAGATCCTCGCGCGGGCCGTCCCCGCGGCCTTGGCTTTTCGCCTCCTCGTTCGTCGTCGTCGTCGTCGTCGTCGTCGTCGTCGTCGTCGTCGTCGTCGTCGTCGTCGTCGTCGTCGTCGTCGGCTTGCTCCAAAATCCTTCCTCCCTCCCACGTGCCAGGGTAGCGCAGGCCGCCAGGAATTGACGCGGAGCCACCTACGCCCAAAGGTTGAGGGGATACCGACTGGGGGCGCTGCCGGGTACGAGGGCACGGAGGTTCTGGATCGCCGCCGTCCTTTCCTGCTTCCCTGTCCTCCTCCCCCTCCTCCTTCTCCTCCTCCTCCTCCTCCTCATTCTCCTCCTTCCATCCCTCTCCTTGCGTGCTGGACGCGCGCAAACCTAAAGTCCTCGAGATTGCGCCGGTGCAATCTGGCCGGAGCCCCGGACTGCAGCTGGGCGGTGTCACCCTTGAGGTCCGTCTATCAGGAGGGGCAAAAACACAGACACAATGAATCGTCGACTCCCAGGAAAATATTGGGAAAATGTAGGAAGTGGGGGGGAAGACGAAAACCCAGAGAATGTAGGGAAAGATGGGGGATCCTGTTACTTGTGTCTATTTATTTGTGTGTCCCTGGGCCCCTTCCTTCTGGCGGGGCTCCAGCAGCACAAGGCGGCTCCTCGCCCCCGATCCCCCGTGTCCCTTCCCCAGGAGCGCTGCTGGCCGTCTAGAGTAAAGGGTGTTTGCAGGGATGCGCCCTCCTTCTCCATCTCCTGCTCCTCCTTCTCCTCTTTTTCCTCCTCCTCCTTCTCCTTCTCCTCCTCCTCCTCCTCCTCCTCCTCCTTCTCCTCCTCCTCCTCCTCCCCTCCTCCCCCTCCTTCCTCCTCCTCTTCCTCCTCCTCTTCCTCCTCCTCTTCCTCCTCCTCCTCCTCCTCCTCCTCCTCCTCCTCCTCCTCTTCCTCCTCCCCCTCCTCCAGGGGGGGCTATTTGGACGCACCCCTGTCGAGGATGGACGCCCTCTTCCGTTGACGAGCCTCCCGTGGGCCTCCTCCCAGGGCCTCCCAGGGCTTCCAGCGAGCCTGAACCAGGGGCCTGCCAGGGGCCTCTGGATGCCCAGGAGCCTTCCAGACCCAGCCGACGAGTGCGGCGCAGTGGCGATGTGCAGAATGTGGCCCCCCATCGGTCTGGACCCCTCCCCAGGGGCATGTTTTTCATCCCGAGTCGTTTATGACAGTCCTGGGGCTCAGCGAGGGGTCCAAGAGGCCGAGAACGGTCAAAAACCTTCCGCCTTGATTCTGTTCACGACGCGAGGGGGTCTGTGTCGAGAGATCTTCGATAGCGATGTGTTCCGCCGGGAGTTCAAGAGCACAGCTCTTGGACATTGCTCGAAGGCGTAGCACGAGTTTGAATGGTGCCCAGCACAATTTTCAGGGAGCAATTCGGACGGGGCTAGGACGAGGACAAATCCGTTCCAGAGCGATCCGGATCGCTCTCAGAGCGTTCCGGAACGCTCTGAGAAGGCCGCGGCGCTCGATACATTCTCTAGAGCCGCCAGATCTTAGAGATTCTCGCTTGGTCCAATTGCCTGCGGCAACCCCCATCCACCGTGTCTGTGCAACAGTGCAACAGGAAGGAGGCTGAGTGTAGGAAAACAGCGCAATTCCGCCGAATGGTATGCAATGTGGCTAGTCGTCATCCCGCCCTCGTCTTCGTCCGCGCGGTAGGGAGGCGTTGGAGGAGGGGGAAGGAGGACGAGGTGGAGGGGGAGGAGGGGGAGG